ACATACGTCAATATAATATCATAAATTGTCTTAAATTTGACACACATTGCCAGTCTGCCTAGTTTGAAATAAGATAATTTGGCACTCAAATTCAGGACCCATTTTTCTTCACAAAACAAAGATGTGAACACGGTAATTGTCTATGATTAATGTACTTGCAGTAACAACGATTATCCAGTGTTCACTGACTACATATATATTTTCACTCTGTAATAATGAGTTCTGTTGAGTGAGTTCCAAATCATGTTTGTATCAGAAAAAAAAAGAACTTCCAATTCAATCAATATTTGATTCGAAATGATCTTCACATTAAGTCTCCAAAACATGAGATATGTTCACAAAATCTCATACATATTCATCCTGAAAAAAAGTTAATTTATCAGATGAACATAAACAACTGGACGTGTTTTGATCAAAGAATATGCAGTTTTGCAAGTGAGGTTGCATAAGAAAAATTTGATGAACTTTTGGTCATCGAATCAGGTGAGGAATTATTGTAGTAAAAGGTGTGCATTTTTTTTCGCGTACACATGAAATCAGAGCCTTTTGTTCACATTTTTATCTTTAAGTTATTGCGTTTAAAAAAAAAAATCAACGACTTTTAACCATGAATATTTAATCTCAGACAACTAAAAAAGTATTAATTTCTGAGATTTAATACAGATTGTTCTTCTTCCAACATTACTACTAAGGGCCATTATCTATTTTGTATAGGGGGTCATCACCATTTACGACAACTTTGATTCCTTATGTGACACGTGACACGTGAGCCAGAGTCTTGCTGACACATCACTATATTTTGCTCACCGAATTGTTATCTACCATATTTTCTAGTAATTACTAGGTATGTTTTTAGTGTACAGTATTATAGTATGTTTTAGTACGAGCACATACTAGAAGCGTATTTTTGGAAGTGGGGCATCGAGGCATCGTACAGGTTTATAGTTCCATGGTTACAGTGAGCTTTGTGATACTAGAGAAAGAGTAGAAAAGTAAAAAGAAAAAGTAAAATATTGTTTTTAGTAAAAATTTCCCTCAAGTTATTCTAGCACCGTATTGTTGTGTCACGTATGTCCAAATCGACAGCACCTTGCAAACGAACGCCGAAATCGACAACACAAGCGTGGGTGCAGTAGGTTCGGTTAGGGGCGCACCTTTACAATGACGTCATTCAAGCACTTCATTGTGGGGTTCATGCATATGAGTATGTCGAAATGTAAACACGTACGTCGTAATGGACACCTTCCACACGTACGTCGAAATAAAAAAAATGCACACGTACGTTGAAATCGACAACACCTTGCACACGTACGTTGAAATCGACAACACCTTGCACACGTACGTTGACGTCGACAACACCTTGCACACGTACTTTAAAATCGACAACACTTTGCACACGTACATTGACGTCGACAACACCTTGCACACGTACTTTAAAATGGACAACACCTTGCACACGTACTTTGAATCGACAACACCTTGCACACGTACTTTGAAATCGACAACACCTTGTACACGTACTTTAAAATGGACAACACCTTGCACACGTACTTTAAAATTGACAACACATTGCACACGTACGTTAAAATCGACAACACCTTGCACACGTACGTTGAAATCGACAACACCTTGCACACGTACTTTGAAATCGACAACACCTTGCACACGTACTTTAAAATGGA